ATTGCAAAACCAAACTTCCACAGCCGCAGCGTGTTCGCTGAAGATTTAGTGGCCATAGAACTGCGTCGTCTGGAAGTTTTATTCAACAAACCGTTGTACGTCGGTATGTGCATACTCGACATATCAAAGACTTGTCTATACGAATTCCATTACGACTACATGGCACCGTTGTACGGTTACGATTGCAAGATCCTCTACACCAATACCGATAATTTAATATATCACATAAAGTGCGAGGATGTGTACGAGGATATGAAGCGCGATATCGCTCGTTTTGATACGAGCAACTATCCAGCGGACAATTCATACAACATACCTCGCGCAAACAAGAAGGTACCGGGACTTATAAAGGATGAGAACAACGGTGCTGTTATGACTGAGTTTGTGGGTTTGCGCGCGAAGATGTACGCGACTCGAGTGGGCGACAGCAAGTGCACAAAGAAGGTGAAAGGTGTGAAGAGAAGCATCGTCGCGAGAACGATCACATTCGACGACTACGTGCAATGTCTGCGGAACGCAACCGAACTGACGCGACATCAGTCGTGCATACGATCGCGGTTGCACGAGGTGTTCACCATGTCGGAACGGAAGCTCGCTCTGAGCCCGCACGACGANAAGCGGTACATCATCCATGGATCAACCGACACCTTACCATGGGGTCACTACAAGATCCCTAACCTAGACTAAATTATGTTGTTGATATAATAATAACAATAATACACATTAAATGAAGTATATGTAATTGTTTTTTATTGTATTAAAAAAAATATACATATGTATTCCTTTGTAAAGATAAGAATTAAAGAGAGTACACATAGCGTAATAATATTAGACCACATTGTTCTTATTTATCCAGGAATTGTGTGAATTGTTTAGTCCCAACCACTTGACCAACACCTCGTTGCCTCGACGACGCAGAACCTTTTCTACGAGATACACATCCGGATGTTTAATCGCGTGCAACTCGTGCTCATAAAATCCACCGGTTATTGGTTCACCGCGATAATCCTCGAGCAGGTACCTGGTAAAGTTTGTTGCACCTTATTAACGCGGAACACCTCGGTAGTCCAGTTTGGTGTGTAACCCTTCGCAAAGACAGTTTTGTACTTGTTCACGCGCACAGGATCGCCTACTCGGAATCGCGCCGGTCCTGCGATTTTAACGTTGCTGTAAACCGTGCGCAGGAGTCGCTCGCTCGAAGCCGGCGTTACGTCGATTGGCCGCGCGCCGATGGTGCGATGCTTGCGCGCGTTGTACTCCGCTACAAGTCGTTGCAGATCGTCGATCCAGCGATACGATCCGTTTAGCGTAAACATTTTCCACATGTTGTTCTTGAGCG